CCACCATTAAAGAGACTTGTTACTTTGCTACTTTATTTTCTTCCCCTTACCCATTCTTCAACGATGGTCCTTTCTGGGCAGATTTGTTCTTTTGGGCTAATAAAAAATTGATGGTTATGGGTGGAAAACAGGACCAGATGGGTAACAGAGAAAGGGGGTGACTTAGCAAAATAATTTGCCAATCTGTTTATTAATACTGAGGAGAAAAACATAGAACGAGTTAAAACCATGAGAGCAGGAGATTAGGGAAGGAAGTTTTCGAGAATTTAGAATTGGAGAAGTGAAAAAGCACCTACAATGTGCAAAAAAGGTGTAAAGGAGAGAAATGGAGAATTTGCTGTAGTGTATAAATGTTCTTTTTGTAGAATCATAAAAGAAATCCACAGGGAAGCTATGATTCAGTATAGATTCATCTGTACCTAGTTGTTATTAACAAACATTTAATTACTTTGAAAAAATATTTTGAACTAAATGAAAATATAACATATCAAATTTGTGGGAAAATATGATATAGCAAATGATAGAAATCACAAGTATGCTCTCAATAAAATTAAACTAGAAATCAATAACAGAAAGGTAGATGGAAAACTCAAATATCTGGAAATTAAACATACTTCTAAATAACACAATTCAAAGAAGAATCCTCAAGAGAAATGTAAAAATATTTTGAAATAAATGAAATACAACGTATCAAATTTGTGGGATTCCCCAAAGAAGTGCTTAGGGGAAAATTTCTAGCTTAAACACATATATGAGAAAGGAAAAATCTATAATCCATAATCTAATCTTTCACATTAGGAAACTAGAGAAAGAGGAGTAACTTAAGCCTAGAGCAAACAAAAGATATAATAAAAATTAGAGAAGAAATAAACTGAAAACAGAAAAACAACAGAGGAAATCAATTAAACCAAAGCTGGTTCTTTAAAAAGGGTAAGTAAAATTGACAGATTACTTGCCAAGCTAACCAAGAACAAAGAAAGAAGACAAATTAACAATATCAGAAATGAGACCAGGTGTTGTGGCTCACACCTCTAATCTCAGCACTTTGGGAGGCTGAGGCTGGAGGATCACTTTGGCTCAGGTGTTTGAGACCAGCCTGGGCAACATAGCTCTACAAAAAAATGTTAAAAAAGAAATGAAGGTGGAGTTATCATTATTGATCCCATGGACATTAAGAAGTTAATATGAACAACTCCACGCCTACAAATTTGTTAATATAGATGAAATGTACCAATTCTACAAAATAAAAATTTTTAAGGGCAATAAAACATACACAGATTGGAAAGGAAGAAATAAACTGTCTTTATCTGCAGTTGACATGGCTGCCAAATAACTGACAAATGCCTGGTGCAGTCCCAGCATACAAGATTAATATACAAAAGTCAGTTGCTTTCCTATATACTAGCAATGAACAATTAGCACTCGAAATGTAAAAGTGCCATTTATAATAGCAGTCACCAAATGCAGAATGTGACAGAAGAATTTTAATGTATCACAAATGTGTGAAACAACCTCACTGAAAGGGATGGGGGAATAAGGTAGTGACATAGGTAAATTTGGAAATGAGTGGAGTCTGTAAGACTAAAGGCAAAAGGAACCGTACATGGCACTCTACTCCAGTTGATAAAGTTGTTTTCCACAGGGTTACAGGTTTACAGTTTTGAAACCACTATATATTTATATAATTAATAAACAATAAAATGGATGGCAGATGGTAGGAGACAGGTTTCTCACAGTTGGAGTAGAAGGTTACAAATAAGCAAGGGGAGGCTAGAATGATCCATGCAGTAATAGACTGTAGTTGGAGACACTAGTATAAATTCATGTTTAGCCTTATATAAATACAGATGGTTATATACAGAAATATTTATATTTCCATAAATACTTTATATATGTATGGGTATTATATACACATATATCTTTTTGCTATGTCAACTGAGAGGGCCTAGAAGCAATTTTATTTCAGCAGCAATGAGTGTGTCTAGCACCCAGGTCTTGTTTTTCTAACACCATTCTCCAACATAAGATACCAGGGCTACTTGGAGAAATGACTGATTCTAGGACTTGGGCAATATGAAAGATAAAGCTATAGCATCTTGTAGTGCCAGAATGTAAGTAAATACTAAAAAAAAAACCCTCCACAACATAACAATGGAAGCATGTCAAATGAATACAGGAGCCAACTGAAAGCTCCCAATGACCAAAGCTGGAACAATTTGAGCAAAAACATGTAAAGTAGTATTGCGTTAATCCAAAGTAAAATAGTCATGAGCCTACATTGTTACAATAAACTGAATATATAAATAGGTGGGGAAGAAGAGTCAAATATCCTCTGCAGAGGGACTCCAAATAATTTTTGTCAATACTCTGCCTTCAAGGAGGTAATAATGCCCTACTCCTTAAGTGTGGGCTGCCAATAGTGACTTTATTCCAAAGAATACAGTATGGAAAGTGAAAAATAAAACTTAACCTTGGAGAAACCTGACAAACACTACTTCAGTCAGGTTACCAAGGATAAGAACAGTGGTAAATGTATTGATGCTATGTCCCCTTTATATGATGAGAATGGCATTTTTACCTCTGTAGTCTTCTTCCCAAAACACATAATGCCTGTGTAATCACAAGACAAGCAAACCCAAGTTTTGGGACATTATACAAAATACCTGACCAATACTTCTCAAAAGTGTCAAGGTCATCAAAAAACAGGCAAAGTTTGAAAAGCTCTCACAGCTAAGTGGAGCCTATGGAGACATGACGACTAAATGTAACCTGAATGGGATCCTGGAACAGAAAAAGGACATTAGGGGAAATCTGAATAAAGTACATACTTTACTTAATAATATATCTATCAATATTGGTTAACTGTGACAAATCCACCCTGCTAATGTAAGATGTTAATAATAGGGGACAGTGCATATGGGACACTCTGTACTCTTTGTAATAATTCTGTAGATCTAAAACCATCCTAAAAGTTTATTTAAAAAAAATACTGTAAGGAAATAAAAAGCTACTCAAGAGCCAGGGGGAAAAAATCACATAGGTAGATGGGTCTGTTGAAATAGTAAAGCAGAGCTTAACAGAAATTTCCTGGAAGACAATTCGTAAGAAAAAAGGGTCAGCAGACTAGAGATTAACAAATGAGAACAGCACAGCATCTCGTCACTCAGCTTTTTCTCCTGGCTCAATCTCCACTATCTAAATCCGGTGGAAAACGGCTATATGCAAAAATACACACAAGTCAACAAAAAACATGGAAAGCAGTGTTTTGTAAAAACTTTATAAAATATCAAGGCCCAAGTGACAATTGGGTACTAACAACCTGAATTAGGATAACTCTATTGTAGGTAGAGACGGAATTCTCCACTTTTCTGTTGGGACATAGTGTTGCTTAGTCCATCATGGTCTCCAGCCCAGCAGCAGCAGCTACTGCCTTAGGAGGGTGCAGGATCCATGAGAAAGGGGCATACTACCTTTCAAGTATGGCATTACCCAGAAAGAGTGGCACCCATCTCTCAGCTGTCTGGACTGATTTCTGGGCACAGGTGAGACCTCCTTCAGCCCTCCCCAAGCGTCTGACTGGGTACTGGTTCTGCTAGTGCAAGGGGAGAGAGTAGGAGCCAGCCTAACACAGCTCACACACTCAATACCTCATTTGATCTTCTCCACATGTCTAGGCTAATTTTATCCCCGTTTCACAGATGTCAAGACTGTCCCTTACAGCAATGGAGCTGTAATAACCATCAAGTTGACTCCTCCAGCTTCCAGTCCCAGAGGTGATGCAACTTTTACCCATAATTTTATGTCCTGACAACAAGAATTTTAAGTATATCCACTGTCTTTATAAGTTCACTGGGCAGTTCATTTGAATGCTTATTCAAATGAATGAAATTCAAATATTCACTGTTTTCCAATATTTTAACTTTTATTATTTTTATGATTAAGAAATCTGTTTTTAGGAGAAAAATGGACAGATGAACAAAAAAGTACAGAAAAAATCACCCACAGATAACCACTGTTAATCTTTTAGTTGACACAGCTTTCAGAATTGTTTTCTATACATAAATTACTAGGTATCTTTGTAGTTTTACAAAAATGTACTGATGCCGTATGTTTGGTTCTACAAGTTGTGTTTTTTAATTTTACAATGCACCATCAACATTCTTTCCATGTAACGGATGAAAATTTGCTACTAAGAACACCACGTTGCAGTTGGGTCAAAAGGCTGCTAGTAACAGGAGGGATGCCTAAAGTAAAGTACTACCGTAAGGGTAAAGCACATGGCCTGGTAAATGCCTGCCAGGGACACTACACATAAGGAATGTCTTCAATGTCCCTTCGTGGGGCCCTGCAGCCACCCCTGAATTCCCTTGGGCCTCTAGGGTAGAAGGGGTCCTGTAAATTTCTTTGCATCCACAAAAACGCCCCCAATTTCTGTTTGCTTTTTCTCTTCTCATCCTGCACCTTAGCCATATTGTCAAATTCTCTTATCATGTCCTCATTGCTGAAATTCATATCGTGTATGGCCTCTTTATACTCCTTGAGGTAATGAACCAGCCCCTTATTAGTTTTTCTTTTGGCTTTCCTGGGTACATCATCCTCAGCTGGGCGCTTTCCTGCAGCCCTTGTTTCACTCCCTGGCTCTCCTTGACTCTCTGGCTTTCCCTCTATCTCTGGTTTTCCCTCTCTCTCTGATCCTCCCTCTCTCTCTGATCCTCCCTCCATCTCTGACTCTCCCTCCCTCTCTGACTTTCCTTCTTCTTTTGCCTTTCCCTCACTCTCTGGCTTTCCTTTATCCTTTAACATTTCCTCATCTCCTGTTTTGCCCTTGTTTTCTGTCTTTCCCTCGTTTTCCAACTTCTTGTCTTCCAGAGTACAAGCTACTTCTGGCTTTCTCTCGTCCTGTGGCTGTTCTTCATTTTTCATCTTTCCTTGGTTTGAAGCCATTCCTTCATTTTCATTGTAGAGTTTTTCCATGTCGAGATTTCCCCTCCTTTTCGTGCCCTGGGGGATGGGAATGGAGGGAAGAGGAGACAAAGAGGAGACATGGGAGACTGAGTGCGTGGGATGGAATGCAGCAGGTCTGGATAGTACTTGCATCTCACCCCTGATGAGGGTTCCCCTGAGCTGGCGGGGCCTCCAAGAGGGCCTTCTGCCCACCACGTAGCCTGCCACTCCTCCCACACACGTGAGCCAGCCATTGCCTGGCAGGCCCTGTCACTTTCTCTGCAGTGGTTCAGCCTGGTAAGGTGTGTGTTCATGTGGGTGGGGGGATGGGCGGGGGCCCCAATTCGGCTCTAGCCGGGCCCTCCACACTCTCAACCCTTGTGGGCCCCTGTCCATGCAGCCCCCTACTTTCACGGACCTGCGGGGATTCTGGACAGGTTGCTCCTCTTTTTCAGGCTTCGCAGAGCGCTGGGAACAACAGACGCGCAGACCTGCGGACAGACAGGAGACAGGGGTAGGGGCTGCGCGCTCAGCGGGCTCATAGGGACTCGGTTCCCTTTCCTGAGTCCAGGCCCTTCTCATCCAGCGTTTTCCTCCCCTACCTCCCCCGCACCCCAGCCGCCATTTCTTTCCAGGCCTCGGGCACCAAACCAGGATGCTTTCCAAACTAATTTTGGGTCTCTGTGTCCTTCTTCCTCAGAGGCAACTCTCCTCCCCAGCCTCGCGGTCAACGTTTTTCTCTACGCACGGGAACGGCAGAGGGGGTTTACTTCCACTGTCTCACTACTGGGGCGTCCCCAGCCCACCATCTCCGGCTCCAAAATGGACGGAGGGCAGAAAAGAGGATGTGCCTGGAAAGCGAGCATGGATACTTGGGGGTGCTCGCCTTCCTCACCCTCTGCCCACTGCCTACGTGCTCCCCCTCAGCCACCTTTAGCCGTTTTCCCACCGCCATCTCTGTCCACACTCGGGCCAGCTTCCCTCGACTCAACCCGACCCCACCCCTAGCCTTTCGCGGTACTGTACCCGTTCCCCTTCCGCCATTCCAGTATTCCGCTGGCAGCGTGGAAGGCCCGCACACTGACCTGGAGGAAGCTGGACCAAGAATTAGGAGCCCAGGAACTGGAGCAGACGGGACCCAGCCGCGGGGACAGAGGGCGGGCACTCGGACCGGTGCCCACATCTGCGCCCGGGCAGATCACGTGAATGCCGCAGCACAGACGTTCCACCGCCCCACGCCCCACGCCCCGCCTCCTAGCCAGCCGCTTCCAGCTACCCACCACCTCTCTCCAGCAGGTACCCTCTCACCTCCCTGGACCCTTTTGTCCTTTTCTTCTTGTTAAGAAATTAATCAAAGAAGGAATTTTAATGAAAATCACAGAGTTGTTTTTTTTTTTTTTTAATGAGTTGGGCGGTCCAGAGGAGGAGTCTTGATAATGTTGCTCTTAAATTCCACAGAAATAACGTAGACCCACCCGATAAAATCGTATAAATGAACCCTAGTACTGTATAAAGAATAGAATATTGACTTTAGAAAAAACTTAAGAAAAATTTTCCAAAATAAATGAAATTGTCCCTTTTTCCTGACATGTACAAACATAAATTTTCAAATGAATAAAAAAAGTTATATTTGAAGCAAAATAAAAGAACGATTAATTTATCTTAAGTGAGAAACTGAATATACAGAGACAATGACCAGACCACATACGAAAATAGAACTGAGACCCACAACCGTTGCTGCAAGCAGCTCAAGAAGCCAAAGTATAGCATCTGCAGAAATGTTCAGGACTTTAATCAATTTGCTAGCCTTTCTGGCCTTTTTAATTTTTTTGACCTGATGACAAACAAGAAAAACCCAAATATGAACCCATACTCAATCACATAGGATGCTTGCCTCTAGTTGGCCTGTCTCTAGCTTCCTCACGTCAACAACATCCAATCAGAGCATACTTGATGTCTTTGTGTTTTTGTTTTCCGCTATAAAGCTTTCCCACTCCCCTGCCTGCCTTTGAATCTCTGCCAGATTCAAATGATGGTGACTTGACTTCCTTGCTATAAAAAAGCTGTGAATAAGTAGCACTTGTTTGTTCTCTTATGGGTAGTCTCCGTTTATCTCCACATAAGCTTTTGGTGTGGAAGGCCTTTAAATATAGTCACGTGCCACTTAATAACGGGGATATGTTCTGAGAAATGCATCAGGCAATTTCGTGGTGGTGCGAACATCATAGAGTGTGGTTATACAAACCTATATGGTATAGCCTACTACACTCCTAGGCTGTGTACTATAGCCTGTCGTATTCTATGCTGTCTATTGTCGTTGGCCAATCGATATGCAGTGTGACTATATAACAAAGAGATAAATGCTGATAGATTAGATTACATGAAAATTTTTAACAGATTTGTTGAAGGACTGGGGACACATGCACCCTCCCCTGCTCTTATTGAATATATTGGTGAAATTTTTCTGAAGATCAACTTTGTAAATTATTTTAAAATAAAAATATTGGCCAGGCACGGTGGCTCACACCTGTAATCCCAGTGCTTTAGGAGGCTGAGGCGGGTGGATCACCTGAGGTCAGGAGTTCAAAACCAGCCTGACCAGGATGGTGAAACCCCCTCTCTACTAAAAATACCAAAACTAGCTGGGCGTGGTGGCGGGTGCCTATAATCCCAGCTATTTCATAGGCTGAGGCAGGAGAATTGCTTGAACCCGGGAGGCAGAGGTTGCAGTGAGTCGAGATCATGCCATTGCACTCCAGCCTGGGGGACAGAGTGAGATTTTGTCTCAAAAAAAAAATTAATATTTGATCTTTTGTGTCAGTAATTTCACTTCTAATAGTTACCCACAATGATAATTTTCTTTCTTCAACTTTTATTTTAAGCTCAGGGGCACATGTGCAGGATGTGAAGGTTTGTTACATAGATAAACATGTGCCATGGTGGTTTGCTGTATAGATCATCCCATCACCTAGGTATTAAGCCTGGCAGCCACTAGCTATTCTTCCTTATGCTCTTCCTCCCTGCCCCTAACAGGCCCCTGTGTGTGTTGTTCCCTGACATGTGTCCATGTGTTCTCATCATTCAGCTCCCAGTGAGAACACAAGGTGTTTGGTTTTCTGTTCCTGCATTAGTTTGCTGAGAATAGTGGCTTCTAGCTCCATCCATGTGCCTGAAAAGGACATGATCTTGTTCCTTTTTATGGCTGCATAGTATTCCATGGTGTATATGTACCACATTTTCTTAATCTAGTCTATCATTGATGGGCATTTCAGTTGATTCCGTATCTTTGCTATTGTGAATAGTGCTGCAATGAACATACGCGTGCATGTATCCTTGTAACAGAATGATTTATATTCCTTTGGGTATATAGCCAGTAATGAGATTGCTCAGTCAAATGGTATTTCTGGTTCTAGGTCTTTGAGGAATCGTCACAGTCTTCCACAGTGGTTGCTGATTTACACTCCCATCAACAGTGTAAAAGCATTTCTTTTTCTCTGCAACCTTGCCAGCATCTGTTGTTTTTTGACTTTTTAATAATAGCCATTCTGACTGGCTTGAGATGGTATCTCATTGTGGTTGTGATTTGCATTTCTCTAACTATCAGTGATGTTGAGCTTTTTTCATATGTTTTTTGGCCTCATGTATGTCTTCTTTTGGGAAGTGTCTGTTCATGTCCTTTGCTTACTTTTTAATGGGGTTGTTTTTTCTCGTAAATTTGTTTAAGCTTCTTGGAGGCTCTGGATATTAGACCTTTGTCAGATGGATAAATTGCAAAAATTTTATCCCATTCTGTAGGTTGTCTGTTCACTCTGATGAGTTTTGTTTGCTACATAGAAGCTCGTTAGTTTAATTAGATCTCATTTGTCAATTTTTGCTTTTGTTGCAATTGTCTGTGCCTATGTCCTGTATGGTATTGCCTAGATTTTCTTCTAAGGTTTTTGTAGTTTTGGGTTTTACATTTAAGTCTTTAATCCATCTCGAGTTAATATTTGTATATGGTATAAGGAAGGGGTCTAGTTTCAATTCTCTGCATATGGCTAGCCATTTCTCCCAGCACTATTTATTAAATAGGGAATCCTTTCCCCATTGCTAGTTTTTGTCAGATTTATTGAAGATCAGCTGGTTGTAGGTGTGTGGTCTTATTTATGAGTTCTCTATTATGTTCCATTAGTCTATGTGTCCGTTCTTGTACCAGTACCATGCTGTTTAATTTACTGTAACCTTGTAGTATAGTTAGAAATCAGGTAGTGTGATGCCTCCAACTTTGTTTTATTTGCTTAGGATTGTCTTGGCTATTTGGGCCCTTTTTTGGTTCCATATGAGTTTTAAAATAGTTTTTTTCAGTTCTGTGAAGAATGTCAATGGTAGTTTAATGGAAATAGCATTGAATCTATAAATTACCTTGGGCAGTATGACCATTTTCATGATATTGATTCTTCCTATCCACGAGAATGAAATGTTTTCCATTTGTTTGGGTCCTCACTGAAATCCTCTCTGATTTCTTTTAGTAGTGGTTTTTAGTTCTCCTTGAAGAGGTCCTTCACTTCCCTTGTTAGCTGTATTCCTAGGAATTTTATTCTTTTTGTAGCAATTGTGAATGGAAGTTCATTCATGATTTGACTCTCAGCTTGCATGTTGTTGGTATATAGGAATGCTAGTGATATTTGCACATTGATTTTATATCCTGAGCCTTTGCTGAAGTTGCTTATCAGCTTAAGAAGCTTTTGGGCTGAGATAATGGTGTTTTCTAGATATAGAAGAATTTCATCTGCAAACAAAGATAATTTGACTACCTTTCTTCCTATTTGAATACTCTTTATTTCTTTCTTTTGCCTGATTGTCCTGGTCAGAACTTCCAATACTATGTTGAATAGGAGTGGTGAGAGAGAGCATCCTTGTCTTGTGCTGGTTTTCAAGGGAAATGCCTCCAGCTTTTGCCCATTCTGTATGATATTGACTGTGGGTTTGTCGTATGTGGGTGTTATTATTTTGAGGTATGTTCCTTCAATATGTAGTTTATTGAGAATTTTTAACATGAAGGGATATTGAATTTTATCAAAGGGTTTTTCTACATCTATTGAGATAATCATGTGGTTTTTGTCTTTAGTGCTGTTTATATGATTAATCACATTTATTGATTTGTGTATGTTTAACCAACCTTTCATCTCGGGGATGAAGCCAACTTGATCGTGATGGATAAGTTTTTGATGTGCTGCTGGATTTGATTTGCCAGTATTTTGTAGAGGATTTTTGCATCAATGTTCATCAAGGATATTTATCTGAAGTTTTCTTTTTTTGTTGTATCTCTGCCAGATTTTGGTATCAGGATGATGCTGGCCTCTTAATATGAATTAGGGAGGAGTCTTTCCTTTTCAATTTTTTGGGAATAGTTTCAATAGAAACTATTCCAGCTGTTCTTTGTACCTCTGGTAAAATTCAGCTGTGAATCTGTCTGGTCCTGGGCTTTTTTGTTGTTGTTAGTAGGCTATTCATTACTGCCTCAATTTCAGAACTTGTTATTGTTCTATTCAGGAATTCAGTTTCTTCCTGTTTCAGTCTTGGGAGGCTGTATGTGTCCAGGAATTTATCCATTTCTTTTAGGTTTTCCAGTTTACGTGCATAAAGGTGTTTATAGTATTCTCTGATGGTTTTTATATTTCTGTGGGGTCAGTGGTGATATCCCCCTATCATTTCTGATTGTGTTTATTTGATTTTTTCTCTTTTCTTCATTAGTCTGGCTAGCAGTCTATCTATTTTATTAATTTTTTCCAAAAACCAGCTCCTGGATTCATTGATTTTTTTGAAGGGTTTTTCATATCTCTATCTCCTTTAGTTCAGCTATCATTTTGGCTATTTCTTGTCTTCTGCTAGCTTTAGGGTTTGTTTGCTCTTGGTTCTCTAGCTCTTTTAGTTGTGATGTTAGGTTGTTAACTTGATATCTTTCTAGCTTTTTGATGTACCCACAGAGATAATTAAGACAGTGCTAAAATAGTCTTATATTTAAAATTTTCACTTTGGGAAGCCAAGGTGGGTAGATTGCTTGAGCCCAGGAGTTTCAGACCAGCCTGGGCAACATGGCAAAACCCTGTTTCTGCAAAAATTACAACATTTAGCCCAGTGTGGTGGCACACACCAGTAGTCCCAGCTACTTGGGAGGCTGAGGTGGGAGAATTGATTGATTGCTCTTGGGAGATAGAGGCTGCAGTGAGCTGTGACTGTGCCACTGCATTCCAGCCTCAGTGAAAGAGCCAGACCCTGTCTCAAAAATTTATGTTAAAAGATTCCCATAGCAATTA